CCCAGAGACTGTGCTATACTACCACCCATTCAACCTCGTCCCATTGAGTCTTCCACTTCTTCTATGAAGAAATAAGAAGTAGTCCCCCTCCCATTTCGATCATGGCAGAGGACTTGTTTCTAGCCCTGGCAGAGACTATAGCCCAGACCCCAAAGATCTCTCCATGCTATGTATGTGGGGGAACCAACATGGGGGATCAATGGCCTTGCGAGGCCAGGGAATTAGATCCCCTTGAACTTTATAATGGAACAAAATACCCCAGTTCCACTACTGAGGTTTGGATCCTCAAAACCTCAATCATTGGCAAGAACTGTCTTGCCTGATGAGGAAAAATGTTCACCATCCCTGTTGGAAACTTAACATGCCTGGGCCAAAGGTTTTATAATTCAATCACCTGAAAACCCAATGGTGGGGGTTCCCGAGTCACCTTAAGCCAGACCCTCACCCCTTGTTTAACTTCTCTCATCTCTGAGAGGCCTGGGACAACATCAATGCAGCCATTGAATGGCGGGCCCCATGTGTGCTATGTTGGATATGTGGGAGAACAGCCTGTATAGTACTCCCTTCAGGCTGGTCAGGGTCATGTGTGCTGGGAACTATTCGCCCATCCTTCTTCCTACTCCCACTTGCAGAAGGAGAACATCTGAGAGTTCAAATGTACAGAGATAGGGAGGCTCAAAAAAAGCAATGTGCCTTGCAAATTGGCAATTGGAAAGATGATGAGTGCCCTCCGAGTGTATAATCGGAGGCCATAATCCAATACTATGGCCCTGCCACCTGGGCAGAGGATGGGTCCTGGGGCTACCGCACTTCCATTTACATGCTAAACCGCATAGACTGTAAGCAGTTGTAGAAATTATAACCAAGGAAGCTACCAGAGCTCTTAACTTACTATCCCAGCAGCAAACCAAAGTGCCCAATGCTATATATCAAAATTACTTGGCCTTAGTTTACCTGCTTGCTTCTGAAGGAGGAGTTTGTGGAACATTTAACCAGAGCAACTACTGCCTACAGATAGATGATGAGGGAAAAGTCATAGAGGAAATCACAGATGGGATGAGAAAAGTTACTCATGTCCCAGTCCAGACCTGGAATGGCTGGAACCCTAGGGAGTCATTTAGAGGATGGTTTTCAACTCTCAGGGGATTCAAAACCCTCCTAGGAACGATCCTCCTAATTTTGGAGCGTGCTTGATCTTGCCCTGCTTAGCTCCCCTGGTTTAATCATCTGCCTCCAATCTCATTGAGGCCATGGTTAAAAGAAAGATGGCCACTCATGTAATGATAGAAATATAAACCTCTAAGCCAAGATGATGCTCTTTGACCCAAAATGGAGGGGTCTGAGCATGAAAGGAGGGAATGTGGTAGGGTCCCCTCCCTAAGAAGAGAAAAAAAGAGAAAGAAGAGGAGAAAAAAGATACTTCAAGGTAACCTGGCCATGCGACTATGTGACAACATCCCTCACGACCTTGTAACATGAGAGATATTAGACTGCATGTTTGTGTGTGTTACCATATATGGGAGACAAAGATATATAAAATGTATAAAAAACTATGCCATGTGGCGTTTGGTGCTCAGTTCTTTGGGTAAGAACCCAACTGAGTGGTGCCAGCACAAATAAATTTGCTTCCTGGAAAAAAAAAAAAAAGCCTTGGTGTCACAACTCTCTGTGCAAGAATCTTGCTACACAAGCAGGGGAGGTGGATGTCGTCAGGAACCTCAGGTCACCGGAGGGGATTTGGAAACAACGGCATCAGGTACGGAGCCCCCATCATGAGTAAATGAGGGGGTACCTGGAGCAACCACGCAGAGCCAGGTCTGGCTTGAAGCCAAGTCCTTTCCAGGACCTCAGTGCTGCCCCTGGACTCCACAGCCTCTGGCTGTCCCTGGTCCACAGTCTCCAATTGTTCCCTATTTGTCATCTGACCCTGGGTCTGGAATATTCACTGTTCACACTCCTTTGCTGATGGGAGATCCCAGGGCAGGGAGGACCTAGCTCTCATCTCCCTCAACCTCTGCCCCAGCTCTTCAGCACTGACGGCTCCCAGGGAGGGCTGTCCTGTCCCAAAGGCCTAAGCCTGTGACCCTCTCCGAGTCTCTGGCCCATAGGGGAGTCTGCTTTCTGTGTGTTCCCCCAATTAGATCACTGACAACCAGGGAATGACCCCCGCGGACTGCTGTCTGCCCCAGAGCTTGTAGCCTCTCCTAGGTTCTGGGCCATGACGTCTCCTACTCGCCGCCCCAGCCCTGAGCCGCACATGTGCAGAGCACCTCAAACGTGCCGGGATGGGCTTTGGCTTCGACCACCCCGCTCACCTCAACCCCACAACCACCTTATGAGGCAGGGGCTCGATTTCCACTTAACTCCTGAGGAACCTGAGCTCCAGGGAGCATGTCCTTGCTCAAGGTCAGACAACTGGGTGGGAGCTGAAGCTGGCGTTACACCCGGGCGTCCCTCACTCCATCGTGTGCGCTCGTGAGAGCTGTGCCGCACTGTGCCCGCACTTCACAGAAGGGAAACTGGATTCCTCACTAAATTGACATCTAAAGACTAAAGAGAGTGAGGACTTTGCCTTGCCAGGTGAAGAAGGTGTTAACCATAAAAATAAAACCGTCAGTTAATTTGCCAGCAAAATGCCTTTATTTGAGAATAGCCGAGAATTGTAATCCGGGCCAAGCAACTCCAGCAAAACCACAGGCAAATTCAGAGAACATAAGAGACAGGCTCTTTTACAGAGGGGAGGGGGCGATTTGAAACCTCAAGTGCACCAGTAAAAGGTCGGTTCCGAGTGTAGCGGCTTCTCATTGGCTGGGCTGTTGCTGGGCGGAGGGAGATCGGTCCTTCTTCTGGGATAGGAGCCTAGTAGAGGAGAAGATCTTCCTCCTGCTGGGAAAGTAACTGAGTGGCTGAACTCCTACGGACTTGTCAGGTGCATTCCTCCTGTTAGGTCTGCAACTTATGACAGGAGGTAGGGATGAGAGCCCCCCACTACTGGCCCCTTGAGTCCGATTTAGCGAGGTTACCCTTCGTTACATTTCAAAAAGTGTCTGACAAGATCCCCTTTCATCTCCAAGCACAGCATGAAGTCTCCCTGTTTCCAGAGACCCGTACATAAGGCTTGTAGAGAAAGTCCCTTCCGCAGTCAGCAATGGCCTCTACACGCCAGCATTAAACGGCATCACACATTCGGCCGCGAAAGACTGACAATGCAGTCCCGGAACTGGCGGTTGAAAAGAGCCGCGGTCATGACCAAGCACACTTGGTCCCTCCCCCCTTCCCCCCGTCCCCGGGCTGCACCACACCGGCCCCCTGGTTCCCTGCACGTGGCAGCCTGCGCCCATTTGTGGGCCTTTGCCCCCGTTCATCCCTCTGCCTCAACTCGGCTTCCCACGTCTTCTTACTTACCCTTCCCTCTCTCCCAAATTGTCACCTCCTCAGACAGGTGCTGGGTCACCCCAACTAGGGGAAGACCCTCAGACCCTTTACTGGCGGAGCGCTACGGCTTGCAGACAGTTGCTCTGCTGCCTGGTTCCGCGTCGTGTCTGCGTGGGCAGGGCCTGCTCCCTGTCTCCGCCGTTCACCCTTTTCCTTCCTCCGGCCTGGGACCCGAACACTGAGAGGCCTGGTTGACGGGTGATTTCTCACAGGGTGCGCGCACCGCCTGCACTAGTTTGCTTCCACAACAAAAAGAGAAACAGTAGAAATAATTCACAGCCAGATGCACTGGATTTGGACTTCATTTAATGTAACCTATGCAAAGAGGCACGTCTGGGTGGGTGGAATTGGATCCTGTGAAAACGCTCTCCAGGATGCAAGCGATGAGAACGCGGACAATTGTGCGTAAGTGAACGGTTTCAGAACTGTGCAAATTAACCCAAGTCTTGCATGATCAGAAGGGCCTTTACTCAAGAACACGGCCAGATCCCAGCACAAACACTGAGCCTTGGAGGGTTGTAACAGCGCTATTCCTACCGCCCTCCCCTCGGCTGCGTGGTGGCCTTGAAAACCCATGACCTCACATCCAGGGTAGCTCTGAACACCAGCAAGCCGTCACCCACTGGAGGGGACAGAACTGCTTGCAGCTCCCCAGCACCATATTCACAAACAAGTGTCCTTCTTTAAGGTGCCCGGTGACTCCCTGAGAGGCACGGTCCTCGGGGCATGTCCATAATTGAAGGTCTCGGAGCTGACTGCGTGCACAGGCCAGGTCACCATATTAAGGTGCCAGGCTGGACCCCCCGCATGGAGAATTCAATTGAAAGGACGACGCTTAGCAATCTTGTCTTGCTTTGATGTCACCTGCAAGAAATCCTTCTAATGCTTTCCCCCAGGAAGAATGGGCAGATAAGATTTGGGTAGGGACCTTTATATCAAATGCTTTTCATTTTTCCTCACAAAACACGTTGCATGGATGACATCTGTTCCCTGAATCAATTATGACGCTCATATAATCTTCCTCATTTTCTGTTAGAACAATGTGCCGCCTTTTGACTCTCCATCTCAGCTTCCAACTCACCCTTTTTGCCTGTTGTGTGAAAAACGTTCCGGTTCCTTTAAAAGATTTCCTGTGGCGTCCGTGACCGAGGTCAGTCGGTAGGGGGCGCCGGATACATGGCGGGGGGGGGGGGGGG